AACTTATTTTGGTACCTTAATTTTGCTTCTCCTATGCATTTTTAATTTTCAGTGGCTGTCAATATGAATTTATCATTTGATATTTACAAAAGTCTTTATATTATGATAAGAATAACGTGCTAGTAAAGATATGAAGCAAAACACAGTTGTTTTCCCAAGTCTGCTTATGAATACTGACATTTTAAAGTTACATGTCTGAGAAAAATCAAGTCCCCACCATGCGCTAAATACTCAGGGGCCACTTTGCTATCTGAGGCTCAGAATAACCCTTCAAGGACCTTGTGCACCATCCACACTGCTTGCTATGGCTGAGTGCGCACACATTCTGACAAGAGCAGGAGTCCCGAAACTGTGATGCTGCATGTTTATTTTTTAAATTTTATTGAAAAAAAAATCAGAACAAGTAAATTAGCCACTACACAGTCTTCTATAAAATTATATTAAATTAACAGTGGCAATGGAAATATGTGAATTCGTTATCAATCTGTAGCAAAATCATTTCATCTATGAGACAATTTTGAACACTGCTAAGCTTCTTATATTTGCAAACTGGATATGAGAATGTCATAGCTTCATCTTCACCCCAGCTTTTAAGGATAAACTGGGAGTTATCCTTTCCCTTATCCACACTTAACTCTAGGTAGAATTTCTCTGTATCTTTCTCATTTAACTGCCAACATTTCTCTAACAGTTTCTGTCAACACTGGAAGATTTGTCCTATTTTATCTTAAAAAAAAAAAAAAAAAAACAAAACCACAACTAGTTGATACTAGCTATACAGTTCACATAGCTTTAATGAAAAATTATTGACTTCAGAGATGTTTTAGATTTTGGACTTCTCAGGAATTTCCATAGCCTTTATTGGTAGAGTATTTGTAAAATATGGAAACCCAAAATCTGCCTGTCTTCCATCTTGATTTGTAGCACTTCAGATTGGGGATATTGGAATTAAGCTTGCTTAAGTTGTAGTTTAGGTAATTAAAAACTTTTAAGAAGTAAAAGTCTTTTTGAAAGAAAATAAATATTACTTAGAAACTTTTTGGTTATATTTACTTTTTTCTATGTATTTACACTTCCTAGTAATATGTTACAGCAAAACATTTATTTCTGTAGGAAGTCAAGAAATCTTCTTTGAGGCAGAGTTATATGCAAGCTAAATATATTCTGGGCACAAATGAGATAGCATCCACTGAGGCACCTACCACAATGTTTATATCTTGTGAAAATAAAACAACCTTCATCTTATTTATTTATTTTATTTTCTTGGAAGAACCTTTGCATTTAACGAAAACTTGTTTTTGTTGGTGGGATAAAGGAGAAAGAAAGATGTACTTAGGTGCTTTTTAACTTTTATCAAATTAGGTAACTGTAATAAGAAATACCTAAATTTTTTTTCACTTACATTTTTACTCAATTTATCCATGTTCTGTGCATTCACATTATATTGAAACATAATTTTAACTACCTATTTTTGGTTTTACACCTAAACATTAAAGTGAAAAGGGCAGTAATTGTTATTGAGACTTTCAGAACATGGGTATTTTCTCCAATCCCCTCTAAAATTAAGGTGAAGAATAAGGACAGATTACTCACTCTCAAAGCACTTAAAAGAAACAGCATTAAATATTTAAGTGGTAGTTTATTTTCATAATTGGTTAATATCTTTTGTATAACTTCCATCATCATAAAAAAACAACCTTCATTTTAACTAACTTGATCTTAACATGCAAGGATGCTGGAGAACTGCTGAACATTTCAGCAACATTGGCCAAAGCTGCGGTAAGAGGCAACAGCTTAGGTAAGCTAGGGCTAGAGCGGCACTCTCTCAGCAGAGGGAGAGCACTGAGGCTGGGAGTGTGGGGCAGAGCTGTGACCCTTGGTGGCAAGCTGCCAACATGGCAGGTAGATTTTGTTGCTTGGAACAAAAGCCTGGAGAATGAGTCTGTCTGGAAGGGAGAAAGAAGGCAAGGTGGAGAGGGAAGTTGTGTCCCACAAATAGCCCTATGGTTCTTCCTGCAGTGAAATTTCTTTTCATGAAAATTTGTTGCTGGCATGTATTTTCTTCGTGGAGACATTACTCATTCTGTTTCCCTAAGTACACATTATGTATGTTTGCATGCCCATATATTTGTATGTACCCTCCGTACCTACAGGTCACATGTCTGACAGAATTAAACCCCATGTATGTTCCCAATGTGCCTCTCAGGTGGAGTTCTTTTACTTCTGACACCTGCCTCTTTTTTTAGAGCACTGTGTGAGCACTCCAAGGAACGCTGTGAGTCTGTTCTTGGCATTGTGGGCCTTCAGTGGCCTGAAGACACAGACTGCAATCAATTTCCAGAGGAAAATTCTGACAATCAAACCTGCCTAATGCCTGATCAAGATGTAGAAGGTTAATTTTGCATTAATTACAGTGGGGCATCTAGCACGTATGCACATGTCAGTCTTTCAGTTTGGGGTGTGTTGTTGTTTGATATTTAGCAGACAATCAGCTTGTGTAAGTAAGTAAATCTGTGATCTTGATTACATCAAAGACTTTGGCATCTACTTGTTAGATGTTGTCATCATTTTTAAAAATGAAATCATTTGAAGAGATAAAAATGAACTCAGAGATGGGCATAACAGTCCAGCTATTTATCAGTTTTTAGTGGCACTCACACAGCTGATTCTATACGGTTGCTTCCTGTATTCAAGGGGTCTTGAAAGTGATGGTGAACATCAAGCATTGGTTCTTTCAAGTGCAATGCAGTTGGAGGCCTTAACAATGTAGGGTTATTAAGTAGAAAAATGGAACTGGGGTCCAATTTGCCAGATGGAAATTCTGAGATGTGGAGATGATTTTGACACCCTGGGGGCAACTTAGTTGTCAGGGACATTGATGTTATGAGGTGTCATAGGCCAGGCCCATGACGGGATGTTCCATTTAAAAGGATAATTAGCATAGAAGATGTAGACATAAAACCACTAATCTGGAGAGTTGGTGCCAAGCAGGAAGGAGAATGAGACTGATGAGTAGACAAAGAAAACCCTTGTGTGCTTCAATTACTTCACCTTCCAGAAGACCAATAGCTATGCAACAACCTCCCACAGGTAAACAGATAAACTACTTTAAGTCTTAAGAATTTCTGCCATCGAGAATAATGTTCTTTTTTAACAGAATGCTCACCTAGTCACTTCAAGTGCCGCTCTGGAGGATGTGTTCTGGCTTTCAGAAGATGTGATGGCCAGGCTGACTGTGATGATGACAGCGATGAAGAAAACTGTGGTACGTATGTGTGCTTCGGAAAAGGATCTGTGTATTGCTAAAAGTTTACTGTGCTAGTAGAGGCAAGTACTGGGTAGGATTGAATGCTTGTGCCCTTGCTTCTTGAATATCAGAGTAAGACATGGACTGATACATATTTTTCCTGTTAGCTCTTTTGAGTTCCTCTAAATTTTATACTTCTTTTGATAATCTATGCAAGCACTCAGTAAAAGGAAGGACAGTTTGCAAATGTAAGGAATAATTTTTGTTACTAAATTATGAAGCAGTTTTTATCTGCTTTACAGTCAGAGTAATAGTCTCTTGCATGTGATTCTTATGTTGCCAAGTACATATCTAGGTATGTGCAGATAGAGTGCAGGCTCTAATGTTCAAATTTAATTGAGATTCATTTTCATGCTCTCTCTTATTTTGTCTGTGTCAGCAAAGGATGAAACTCTTCTTGACATTTCTGCCATTGAGCTCCAAAATCACCAATGGAAAGGCCAAAAATGCCAGTGCTAATTTAAGTGGAGTTAAATCCCTTTTTTTCCTTGCAAACCTTGGATCTTGCAACCTGAGAATGTGCCAGGGAACTAAAAATGAGTAATGCATTTTTAATAAACAATATTCTAGAGGAAAGCAAAAATGATAGAAGGGCTATCTGAAGATTAGCTTGGTTATGCTTATTTAGCTTCTCATTCCCCAAAATAAAGTCAACACTTTTTTTTTCATTGAAGGAACAGAAAGTAATATATCTTTTGAGTTTGTTTCATTCTTTGGCCTTTGAGGTATGAAATATTGCCTTACTCCCCAAAATGAAATTTCTCTGGTAGACATTGCCATTCTTGTCTAGACAAAATGTCATAAGCAATCAACTGAAATTCTATCAACTACTATAAATATGGACAAGTGCATCTTTTGGAAAATTACAGCTGTCAGAATGATGGTACAATGACCAGGAGGAATTTTGCTATGTAGGAAGAAACAGTATTTTGGAAGTGTACTATTATTTTCTTGTTTGTGATCCTTCCATAGAAATATATCAAAATTCATCGAATATTATTTATATAAGTGGCTCATTGAAAATGTGCTAGATTTGTTCAATTATTACTGACTTTGGTGGGTACTGTGAGATGCAGTTTAAAATGACTTATCTTAGATATTTGAAGAGGTTGAATGATATTCCCCTGGGGTGGCTAGATCTAAATTTGCAAAAGGAGACTAAATATCTGAAAAATACAAAAGGTTAGTTTCAAGAAAAATTCCTTTCCAAGAGTGAGAGTTCTGCATTCTAGAATGTATTGTACAAAAATATTCAGAATTCTATATAGCATAGTATAGTATTTAAATGGCCTGAAACCATGAGGGTTCTAGTTAAATAATGAGTTTTAATGGATATTTTAGTCACACAGTTAAAGCAATGCCAAGATGATAAAACAAATAGTGGAATACCTGTTAAATGTTCAAAATATCGGTGGCACTATCAAGAGCTCTTACTTTAAAAACTTAAGAATGAGTAAGAGATGAGTACATTTGGAGGTAGTCCAGGTATTCCAAGAGTGTTTAATTTCTAAGAATACATACCTTGGGTTTCTAACGTGACTTAGGACAGGAATTGTGTGCACTTTCTCCTTGGGGCAGACCATGCCCTTGAGTGCATCAGTACACAGAGTCAAGCACAATTCAGCCCAGCAGAGGATGATTAGTGAGTCGTTCAGCTCCTGTTTTGCTCTTCGCCTGTGTCCCTGTCCGTGCACGCACAAGCACGCAGTACTACCTGGTAACGTGAGCACCTGCTCCCGTGAAGCGGGTGATGCTCAAAGTTTATGCTTTTCTACTTTATTCTCTCCATTGTGGTGTGAAAGGTACTTAAATGTTTGGGCTTTATTGAAGAATGTAAAGACTGATTATTCACTGTCACGAATTTGCAGCTCCCTTCCACAACTAATGATGTTGTTTGACTTACCTCCTAAGGCAATACTTAATTTATAAATAATCCATATGTTAGAATTAATTTTACTTTGTGTCTCTAGTGCTTTTACAGCTGGAAAACATGGTTACTCAAGCACTGATAAATGCACTCTGAAATATCTGTATTGGCTTACCAATGAGTAATATGGTTCTTAAGAGATAAATTTTTCTCACTGAAGTTGCTTTGCTTGTGTAATTGCTAATGGAAAGAAGAGACGGAAAGGTTGGTATTATTAGAATCTTCCAAAAGTGCTTGAAGTAAATGTATAAGCCAAACAGATCACTGCAAGATTGAATCACTGCCTGAGAGGCAGTGGGACAATTCTCAGATGCCAGGACAGGGGGACTGCCTTGTCTTCAGGTTTGCTGGCTTGCCGACAATTGAGAAGTACTATCTAGAAATCTTATTGACCCAGCTATGCCCCTTCTAGGTTCCTTTCCAAAAGAGTTAAAGTCATCATATTACAGTGATACAAGCCATGTTTATAGCAGCATATTAGCTAAATGTTGGGGAGGGCCTATATGCTCACCAACAGAGAGACAGATAAGAAATACATGACACTTACACACCATAGAGTGCCTCTCTTCTATAAAGACTCATTCATAAAAAAGTTGAGGCAAATGTTTTTTTTTTTTTTTTTTTGAGGAACCGGGGGTTGAACTCAGGCCCTTGCGCTTGCCAGGGAAGCACTTATCCCACTGAGCCATCTCCCCGGCCCCCAAGGCAAATGTTAAGTGAAA